AGTGAGATAGAGTTTGATGGTGTTGTATGACATTTTGAGTTTAAGGTGGCAAAAGGAAGCAAACCCCAAAAAAGATGTCATAACAAACGGTTGTATGATGTTATGTTCCAGAAGGAATCGTTTGAATAGTGTGAAAGCCCTGCTGTATGTTTTGTTTGTATTGTTTGAAAGTGCCAACTGGGACAATGTCCTGCTATGCTGCATGATGACGTCTAGTCCAGTATGAGTTGTTGAAATGTTGGAGTGATGGTGGCTGTGGGTGCTGCTGACGGGAGTGCTTGATGAAACTCCTGAAATTTAAAGCGAGACAAATTGTCAACAGCTGTGTTATATACACCTGGCACATGGAAACAACATAGGAAGAAATTATGACAAGCTGCCAACCAAGTGAGTTTCCTCAGAAATCTCATGATCGTAAGAGATTTGGAACGACTTTTGTTGATGATGTGACAGGTTGCCTGGTTGTCTGAGTAACAACGCACTGGCGTATTAGCCCATAAATGACCCCACGCTACGGCAGCCGCCACTATGGGGTAGATCTCAAAAAGAGCTGAGGTAGTGGAAAAACCTTCCAAATCCTGAACTGCTGAAGGCCAGCTGCCCCAAAGCCATTCGTTCCCAAAAATTGCTGCAAAACCAGTGGTAGATGCCGCATCTGACCAAATGGTAGGAGATGATTCAGTCAATTGAGGGAGGAACATACTTTTACCATTCCAAGTGGTTAAAAATCTCTTCCACATGTTTAGATCTGCCGTAGCTTGGGCATCTAAGGACAACCTGTGCGTGTCATGTAGAAAAAGTGGGAAAAGATGCAATAGTCGTGAAATAAAGGAGCGGCCTTGAGGTATGATGCGCATCGCAAAATTTAGTGACCCTAGCAGGGACTGTAGCTCTTTGCGGTTGCAAGTGCCGAGCTGTAGGTAGTTGTTTATGTAAGTGAGAATATTCTCTATCTTATCGTATGGTAGGCTTGCTTGCATTGTGGCAGAGTCTAATTGGATACCCAGAAAAGTGATAACCGTGTCTGGCCCTTCTGTTTTCTTTGGGGAGATGGGTACACCTAGTTGCTCAAACAGCTTAGTGGTAGCTTTGAGGCTAGTGGGAGGTGCAGTATTCTCCTCGACCAGTAGGAAATCGTCCAAGTAATGTAATACCGTAGGGCATCCGGCTATGTTCAATAGTAACCAGCATAATGCTTCAGCAAATGTGTCAAAATAGCTGGGCTACTTTTGGACCCAAAAGTTAACCGGGAGAAAAAATAGTAGTTCCCGGACCACTTGATGCCATGCAGGTGCCACAGTGTGGGGTGGATAGGGAGTAATTTGAAGGCGTTAGTAATGTCGGTCTTACTGAGCCAGGCTCCAACCTCTGCTTGTATGATAGCTGTAATGGCGTGATCTATGGTGGTGTATTGCAGAGAGAATTCCTCAGAGGGTATGAGGGAATTAAGACTGGGGTTGGCCGATGAGTGGGGTGCCGATAAGTCGATGATGAGTCTCTGTTTTTGGGAAGATTTCCCTGTGACAATACCAATAGGGTTGGTGTGCCATTCTGTGAATGGAGGAGTTCAAAAAGGCCCCAATACAAAGCCCTCATCCACTTCTTGGGCTATGATGGTGTCAACCACTGTGGGGTTGTGTTGGGCGGATTGTAGGTTAGGGCATTCCAGAGTTCCAGCTGGTATGTGTAGGATACCTGTGTGGAAGCCTTCTGTTAAACCAGAAATAAGAAAGTCTACCAGGTGTCTAGATGGGTGCTGAGACATCAATGCTGTGAATACTGGCATATTAATGGACGTAAGGTAAGGCTTGGAATACATTTTATTTGGACACATGGTCTTTGCATGTGCCCTAAAACATTTTGAACAGACATGCAATAGTCTACATCCACTGTAATTACAAGACCCAACATTGAAATTATTACATATCTGGGACTTGCCCAGAAACTTGATTGGGCGTCCCAATTTGTCTTTGGATAGTTTCCCTGGATCCCCAGAGGAACTAGTTCCTTGTGTGGAGGCATGTCCGTCTGCCGTGTTGGGACAAAAATTAGTAGTATGGGCTGTGGAGGAGCAGTATGCACAAGCTGGTGTTCTTAGACCTGCAAAGTGTCTGCAAAATAAGACGGTATCAATCCTTCCCCAGTTGGATCGGGTTCCGTACTGGGAGAAGGCTCCAGCCACTTTTGCAGAAAAAGACCTATGGTAGTCATAGAATGCTGAACCACCATATTTATTGCCCAGGTCTACCAGCTTGTGCATATAGAGATCGAACTCCTCTCTTCTGTTGGGATAAACCGCACAGATGACATCCCTGTAAATACCAAACGCTAGTACAAATTCTGGGATAGTCAGTTTCCTGTTCAGGCAGGCATCCCTAGATCTGACAATAACAGAAACATCATCATAAGCATACGTCTTATGTTCCACAATGTCCTGGGAGGCAATCAACAGGGAAGCCAGGTTGACGTCTTTACCTTCCAGGATTTCCCTTTTGATATGCTCAGGTATCATGTGGGCCGGGCTAACTTCCTGGTCATCCAGGGGGCTGGCTGGAGCGACTAATGGCAAGGCTGGTGTTTGTACTGCAGCCGCGGTTGGCCCTGCTAGAGTGAGGGCCGTGGTGACCGTCTCAAGTTTCTCCAGCCTGGAGTTGACCTTGCCCATGGATGCCATGAGTGAGGATAACATGGCATGCATGTCCCCTGGGTTGGACTGGCTAGATCCTTCCCCGGCTTCCATGTTATTAGTTGATGTGCGTAGCAGTTTGAAAAGTTCTGCCTTCCTTGCTGTAGCAGGGTAGGGGATTTGTCGTCTCCTTAATTCCGTGGTTATGCGCGGGATTGTCCAGGATCTAATTGAGGCTGGACTAGCTAGCTCTCCTCCTTGTGTGGGAGTGACAGCTCTAGCCGGGGTGCTAGGCAGGGAGAAATCCTCTACCCCTTCCTGAGACATACTATAAATAAAACAATAATTAGTATATAGAACCACCAAATTGTACTGGCAGGCTAGCTAGGCCGGATGGCTAAAGTATTATACTTGTTTGGTGACAGGTGAGGCCCTGCTAATTGCCAAGCGGCTTGAGAGGCTCTATCTATGAGTTGGCGCGAGGGGATATTGAGGCCACTTGACGTAGTGGCAGGAGTTTTAGGCCTCTCGGTGACTGTACGACAGAAAACAGGGGAAGGGAGTGACAGGTGAGGCCCTCTCTTTGCAACATGCGAGGCGGCTAGCTAACGTGTGGCCCGATGGGTGTTTGCCTCTGAAACGTTTGAGGCGGGGTGTTGGCCTCGCTGGACCACTAACTGATGGCGACAGCCAAGACGGGGTAAATACCTATTGGGAATCCTGTGACCCTATTGCCAGTACTCTAAACTAGGGGGATGAAATGAAATGTATGGTAGAATACCATATGAGCAGGTGTACGTGCCTGGTAGTATGACAAATCACAGGAATAAACCGTGTGGAGCAATTATATAAGCTTGACAGCCTAAAAATGGGTAAAAGAGAGTAGTATGATGAGTGTGGAGTGTGAAAAGAAACAGACTTAGTCTGTAGCAGCAATGTATTAAAATTATGTTGATACCATGGGAATAGCTATGAGTGGCTCAGAAATGTTTGCATGCTTGAATAAGACATCTGAGGGAGGCCGTGGCCTTTGTACAAACAATCTATGTGTTAGGTGATAATAGTGTGTAAAGGAAAACATGAAACGTAGGTTATATACATATGTATATGACTGTGCAGGGAACGTATGATTGGTTGGATCAGCACGTGTGATTCAACCTGAGTATGCATAAAAAGGATTTAAGCCTGTGTCATCGTCATGACAGAGAAATGAGGCCTGTAATATAGGCTGAGTGAATTGAAATGGATAGTTATAAAACTCCTGGCGTGGGAGTTCAATGATCTGTACAGAAATGTAACTAGTTTTATAGAAAGGGACATGGATGAGGTCATGGCCTATTTTACACAGCGTTATGTATGATATGTAGCAGAATAACCAAAGGCAGGGATACCCCAAAATGATTTAAAATGATGTAAAGTGATGTATATCTATATGATATATTTGTATAGAAAAGACGTATCAACCCGAGAATTATTGCCTAAATGAACCTATATACTTGTATGTGTTGTAGTAATAACCCAGAAGTGAGGGCTGTAACATAGGCTGAGTCCATTTGTATAAATGGATAAGTAATGCAGACCCCTGAAAGCGTGGGAGTCAAATGGTATATACAGAGAAGTGGACTTGATTTGTGGACGTAATACAATACTGACAATATTTAAAAGTAATCAAATCTATTGAAACAAGCAATTCTTAACCAAACGTTATGTACACATGAAATGGTGAATGTAATTCATGAAAGGATTAGACGTGAACACACAGAAAAGCCGAAAGCAAATGTGAGGGAAACACAGAAGTTAGAATAGTTTGACCGTATGATTTATGCGAACCGAAAGCGTGTTTGAGCGTAAGTGAAAAATTTGCCGAACGGCAAAACAACAGAATGATAATTCGTTTCAATATTACATGAAATAGGATATGCGAAATGACTATTGAACGATTAACTATGTTCAGCCGAATGACCGTACGAATGAAAAAGCCCGCGAATGGCTTGAAACATTCGTGTCATAACCAGGGAAAAAGCTGTAAAGCGAGGACCCGTGCTGTACCGTACGCCGTGGGAACCGGTCCTGGCGTGACAGGAAGGTCTGACTTACGGTTTAGGAGTCCCTGGGACGCGATCTACGACGAAAACCAGAGTCAGAAGAAGCTGGACGGGCGGAAGGCCTTAACAGGATTCCTGGACACCGCTAAAGTGGTGAAAACCTTGTGGATACTGAAACCAAGATGGCGTCTGAGAGAACCCGGAAGTGGATCCTCATTCAACGCTGACCTCGAACAGTAAGGAGCAAGGTAAGGGGAGTGCCTTAAGAAAGCTAGGGGTATCAAACCAGCACCTCCCACAAATGCAGGCAAATTGCCTTAATAAATACACACACATACATATATATATACACATACATACATACATATATATACACATAGTGATCTGAATGTTGAATTTATATCTTTGACATCTTATCACCAGTTTGCAATAGATGACCTAAGTTATCAATTTCCAAATTCATCATGTATATAACTTGGAAGAGTTAATCCATAATACTATTTTACCTTCCATTGACTGACCTTAGCTCTGGCAGACTAAGTGACTTGTGATAAGTGAAGTAAAGTGATAGTGAACTTTCTACCTAACTTTCAGTTACATTTTAACAGTTGAAGTACTTCACTTATATTAATTAGATTATATTATACCACTCTGCAAACTTAAAAGAAATTGTAAAATGTTTTTATTAAATCAGAAATTACTCAATATTTGTTTAAAGGACCACTCTAGGCACCCAGACCACTTCAGCTTAATGAGGTTGTCTGGGTGCCAGGTCCAGCTAGGGTTAACCCATTCTTTTATACACATAGCAGTTTCAGAGAAAATGCTATGTTTATGAATGGGTTAAGCCTTCCCCCAAAGCCTCTAGCGGCTGTCTCATTGACAGCCGCTAGAGGCGCTTGCGTGCTTCTCACTGTGATTTTCACAGTGAGAGCACGCAAGCGTCCATAGGAAAGCATTGTAAATGCTTTCCTATGCGACTGGCTGAATGCGCGCGCAGCTCTTGCCGCGCGTGTGCATTCAGACGACGGGGAGGAGAGGAGGAGGATCGGAGGAGGAGAGCTCCCCGCCCAGCGCTGGAAAAAGGTAAGTTTTAACCCCTTTCCCCCTTCCAGAGCCGGGCGGGAGGGGGACCCTGAGGGTGGGGGCACCCTCAGGGCACTATAGTGCCAGTAAAACGAGTATGTTTTCCTGGCACTATAGTGGTCCTTTAAGGTTAGAACATTATTCATTATTGCAGTTGTTAGTTAAAGATCATATGATTACACTATCAAGATTCAATTATGTAAAGATACATTGTTAAAATCAGATTATCTGGTCACTGCTTGGATTTAATCTACAAGTAAATGTCCAGTAGATATAAAGGAAACTGCATTGTTTAGCTATTTCCTTTTGCTGCAAGACGCAGGCATTATAATACATTAATCTTGTTGTGCTATTTGGAACAGTATGATATTCTAATATCCAGAAAACAATATGGATGCTGATAGACTGGCTTGGACATTACGTAAGGCTGTTTCAACACAGGTCAAAGGAACTTTGTGTTTTGTAACCTTAAAAATAAACTGGAGGAATACTTATCTACAGTTTAATTTGTGAGCTGTAGGTGTACAAGGGTAACGAGAACAATGGTTTACTACTCAATGGGACTTTACAATCCTGAGATACTTAAACTCACAGAGCTTCAAAGGGGTATACAAACTATGCAATTGTTTGTGTATAAACATCACAGGCAATCCAGAGTATTTGTAAGCCATACGCACCCAAAGTCTAAGGTCGCTTCCATGTTTTCAGGATATTAGAACTTAAATTAATCTATTGGAATCATGCATGATATATAAATGTAAACTAAATGTATGATTTAGAGGTAAAAGGTAATATAGCTATACTAATATAATTAGATTCTATTTTTCTTTGTAAAGATGAATGTATCAGTCAGTTAATCATACAGGTTAGATTGATACAGGATATAGCCATGTTGCATTATAATTAATATAACCAACCCTGTTTTAATTAAAGAATATATATAACCAAAGACAGTATCCCCAGTATAGGTGAATTAAAGGTCAATTCATTTATTTAACCAGGTCATCAATGATCTAATTCAGGCCTTCATACCTAGGGAAATAGTGCCATCTATTGACGAAAGTCCCTAAGGGCCACATTAATAATTAAATATTAAGATACACCCATAACCAATCAAAAGCCAGATTTAAGTCCCAGGTACAACCCATTTACAAACAAGGGGCAGGAACTGATAAGGGGGAAATAATGGTTAAATAGGGAGAAAAATAAGAGAGAGGATCAATATCTTCAGATCATCTTAAAAAAAAGATCAAAGATCAAAGGAGAAAACAGAGGGCTAAGAAAGGAGGAGATTGACTGACTAAGGGCAATAGACTGAGTTCCAGACCAGAGCACCCAGAGAGGAGAATCCCAAATTGAATTAATTCATCCTAGACCCTTGGTAATGTATGAAGGTTTCTCTTTACTTTATATTAAATAAACTGGACTATTGAATGCCCTATGTGTCTATATTGTGAACTGATCCCTATTGATAGAACATTTATATCTCATTCTACCTGCAGCCTGAGTCAGATATAACTTCTTAAGTCGGAACATTCTTGATTCCTTCTTTAGACGTACATCAGTTCAATATATATATATATATACATATATATATATATATATATATATATATATATATATATATATATATATATATATATATATATACACACACACACAGGGAGTGCAGAATTATTAGGCAAGTTGTATTTTTGAGGATTAATTTTATTATTGAACAACAACCATGTTCTCAATGAACCCAAAAAACTCATTAATATCAAAGCTGAATATTTTTGGAAGTAGTTTTTAGTTTGTTTTTTAGTTATAGCTATGTTAGGGGGATATCTGTGTGTGCAGGTGACTATTACTATGCATAATTATTAGGCAACTTAACAAAAAACAAATATATACCCATTTCAATTATTTATTATTACCAGTGAAACCAATATAACATCTCAACATTCACA